TGCCGCCCAGAGCAGCACTGATCAGACCCAAAGCTCAGCTTCTTCTCAGTCTCATTTTTCTACCTTTCCTGTAATTCGCCGTGTGCTGCCATGGCTCGCAGGAGACAGGACTCACTGCAGAGGTTCTGGTAACGTCCCCTTCCCCTGTTTCCCCCTATATTACAGTACAGCGTGATTAAGTGTTGGATGTTCAACCAAAGACATGATTCCAAGCATAGATAAGCTCATTAGGGGCTGTGATAGTTCACAAAGAATCTTGAAGAGTAACTCAAGATTCATCAACTAAGGTGAAGAAAATTTATCAATTGAGGTATTGCATACTTGGGAACAAGGTAGACCAAAGTACAGAAGAATTAGGGTGGAATGGATAGGGACATCATCCTGAGGAGCCTGAAGCTAGGTAGGGGCTGATCATAGGGTCCTCTCTTCATACAGGCAGGCCCTTTACCATTCAATTAAATTACAATAAATATAGGAAATTATTCCAACTCTACTCTTTTCTAACCTCGTGTGTGAAATAGTATTTAGTTTAAAAATGCCATAAAATGTTTTATAGAGTTCAGTCCGTGATACTACTGGTAAAAATCACAATACACAATTAAATGGCAGCCAGCAGTGATAGCCTTTCACTTTGCAATCAAACATGTTTCTAAGCAAACCAAAAATCACTACATAGGTATATTTGAAATTTTATAATTTAAAAAGTTAATGTGCTTCCATACATTATAAATTAAGACAAGATTAAGGGATCTAAACTTGATGAAATCGCTTTATACGGCTTCTAAACAGTACCTTGGGTTAGACGTGGCTTTCACCCACCCCCACCCCGCCCCAACGTTAGGTCAAGCTGCATCAGTAGATAGTGTTCGCTGTCACTGATGGAGAAGAAAGCGCCGTGAGTTTACCTTTTCGCCTAGATTCGTAGTAACAAAGACAGGGTTAGTTCCTGGGATCTTGGGCACCTTCGCCCCCAGGGGCAGATACAGGAGCTGAGCTGCTCCAATCTCCACAAAGCGGGTTTTGTGCGCCCTCTGTTTGACAGAATTGGGGAGGGTTGTGTCTCTTCCCTTATAGAACTCTCATTTACTCCAAGCCAAGTCTTCCCACTTCCACCGAGTGAGCGACGCCGAAGGGCCAGCCCAGAGGGTCGCTCCCACGACCCCGACCCCCGCGGTGACCCCCAAACCCCGTGACCCCGGTCCGCCGTGACCCCAACCGCCTGGTGTCCCTGAATCCCCCGGTGACCCCGATCCCTCGGATCCCCCAGCCCCGGGGCCCCCGTCCCGGGTCCCCTGCGAGGCAGGACCAGGGCGGCGGCCGAGCGGCACTCAGGTCCCCGCACTGCCTGCTGTCTGGGGCCCGGGTGCTGGCTGCCATCCTCGTGGCGGCGCCGTGGCCGACCTTGGCGCAGGCGCCCAGGTACAGCTCCATGGTGGCCGCTGTCGCCGTCCGCGCCCAGTCCTCTCGGTCCTCTCAGACCCAATGGCCCTGGCCGAGTTCCGATGCCCGAGGATTCCGGGCCGGAACGTGGGGTTGCGCGGGGCAAGGAGCGCCAGCGGACAATGGGGGGCGTGTCTCTCTCCCGAGCCCTGGCCTCCCGGGAGGCCTGCGCCACCCGGGGCGGGGGCGCTGTGGCGGGAAGCGGCCGAGCCCTGAGCCCTCGGAGCTGCCTTCCCCGCGGCGGCGACACCCGCGAGTGGCGGCCATCGGGCTGGGGTCCGCAGCTCCCCTCCAACCCCGCGGTGCCTCCCCAGGTCCCGCAGGGCAGACCCAGCTTCCCTCTGCCTCTCTCCAGGGGCTCCCCGCTTCTTCCTCCTCACTGTCCTTTTCCCCTCTTCATTCTGCTCAGCCTTGCAGCCCCAGTCTCTAGATTCCGCCTTCTGTGGGCCCGGCATTCCTGTCTTTAGGCAGCTACTTAGATCTTACCTTCTTTGAATCTTTCCCTCAAGAAACGACACAACTCTTCATCCCTATGATATATGCAGTCTGACATTCACTTATTTTGTACCAAACCATTGCTTCAGCCTACTACCAATTCACTTCTATATTAAAAAGCATGTATTTTTCCTTCACTTCAGTTAATTTATGTGAACATTTTCAACTGTTTTTAGAATATTTGTTTTATGTTTTCAAACAGATATTTCATTTTTTATATAGTTAACAAATCATGTGTGAATGTTTGTCATGTGGAATAATAGCTTGCAATATTGCATGACCTCATTATCAAGCTTAAATTAATTCTAGTAAGCAGTACATATCCACGTGGGAAGTAGAAATAATACTACAAAGAAAAGCGGGAAACTAAAATAGGACTTGCTGGATTCCTAGTGAATGGAATGCTATGACATTTTCAGAGCTGGGGAGGGTATGCAAAAGGCTTTATAAAGGAAGGCTGTACCATAGAGAATGACTGGATTTTGTTAAAAAGAATGTTTCCTGTCTGGTATTTAATTTAATGTGACTTCTGATCTACTAATATACTAATAGAGTAATATAAAAGAGTTGCATTTTCCATTTCATCTGTCACAAAATGTAAAATAAATATTGCATACCTATAATATAAACTGAGCCTAAAATTGATTTATTATTAAAATTGAATAATGTATATACTTTCTAAAATCTAGAAATGATGAACCATAATTAACTCACATGATATGAAACCCATTTGATATGAAAATGAAATGAAAGAAGATTGACTTTAAAAATTGATTTTAAGTACTTGCCAGGGCCACAGGTGAGTGGCTGCATTCTTGTTCCGTGGGGGGAGGCTGGGAGGACAGAAGTAGAAGGGAGAAGCGGTAGGGTGGAGGGACCTGGGGGGAAAAGGCAGAAACTGTGGTCCTTGAACCCAGCGATTTCCAGGCTGGCTGGCTCTGCCCTTTCCTACCCTAGCAGTGCGTCTTTGGGCAAGCGGCTTTCACCTCTTAGAGGCCTGGTATCTCCTTTACGAACAAATAACAATAACGATTTAAAAAAACCCTCAGAGGGGCGGGGGATTTAGCTCAGTGGTTCCGGTGCCTTCCTCGAAAGCACAAGGTCCTGAGTTCGATCCCCGGTACCAAAAAACAGAAACAGAAAAAAAAAAAACCCTCAGAGTGCCAGGATGATTAAATGAGAGACTACATGTCAAGTGCGTGGCACGAAGAGTTTTGTTCTCCAGGGGAGGCAGGGACCTACGCCCGTCCCTCGGCCCCCGGGAGAGGCAAGTTCCACCAAGGCCCGCGGGGGCGCTCTGGCGACTTTCCCAGAGCCAGCTCCCCCTGGGCTGGCCGTCGCGGGTCCTCGGTCCGGCCGCCCCCTGCCCCACCAGCACAGCCTGGCCTCGTACAAGCCTTTGATCTGCAACCTTCAGGGGGATTAAGAGCCAGAGAGCCCCGCTCCTCGGGGTCCCTCACTCCGCCACCCTCCCCCGGGCTGACCTCCCAGTCGGCGGCCCGGGCTGGGGGCTGGCTCTGCCGGGGTGGTTCCCGCGCTCCGGCCGCTGCACCTCCGAGACATTTTGGCACGGGATTCGATGTAAAGTGTTTAAAAAGAAAAACTCTCCGGAGGAGGACGTAACCTTTTCTTAACATCTGGGGCTCAATTAGCTAATGACAGCAAAGCCTTCTCCGGTGTCGCTGACCCCTGGGCAGCAGCCCGGCTCCGCCAAGCCCTGGTATTTATACAGCTGCGGCCCCTCGCTGAGACGGGGGGCAGGGGGTTTGGCTGGGTTATCTCTGCTGAGATCCACCGCCCACCCCGAAAAAGAGAGAGAAAAGGCTCAGCACGGCGTCCCACCCACCGCCGGCCCTCCTGATCGCAGCTGCTCTCCTCTCCCAGTGCCCGAGTTCTGTCTCCTCTCCCTCTGGCCCCTGCCTGCCTGTCTCTTCTCCCCTCTGTCTCCTCTCTCCCCAGCGGCCTCCCCTGCTCTGGCTCTCTGAATGGCTCCCTTGTTCGCCCTCCAGGTCCCTGTCTCCCTTCCTGGGCTCCTTTCCTTCATGCCTCCTGACACTGCCCGTTTTGAACCCAGGCAGACTCCCTTTCTACTCTGTCTTCCTTTGGTACAATCAAAACAGGCTAGAGTCTTTTTAAAAAATCACCAATACGAAGGAGAAGAGCAATAAATGCAGAAACTATAAATAACACCAAAGTCATGTCCAAAGGCAGTTCGGAGTAGCAAAGGAGAGACCAGGATTTGGAATAAAAGAAGCAGAGATCAACTACTACCTGTGTTGCTTATGAAAGTCTGTCATCTTGGGGAAGTCACGGGCCTCATCTATAAAACGGGCATAATGATAGTTATTAAACAATAACAAAACAAAAAAAATTGATTTTAATCAGCAGATTAAACAAAAGTTCATAAAATATTAACCTGGGTATGTAAAAATTTACAAGATATTTAGTCTTTCTGCTTTATTTGGTGCAGATGAAGAAAATCATATCTCTCCAAGTCATTTTTGGAAGATGGAAATTATTTTATATAATGTACTTATTTATGCACACATTTTATCATTCATTCTGTCTCTAGAATTTTATTTAAAAATTCTCATTTATGTTGATTAAAAATACTAAATCCTTACATGTTTCAAAATTTAATACAGTGATAGATCCTTTCCTTTTTTAGTCATGGTTGCTGAAGTCATATTTGAACACTCCAGAGCTTCCGTACAGAACTGAAGAGTTACAGAATATGAAATGAGACAATCTAGTATGCATACAACTAGAGTTCTAGATATATAATGTATCCAGTCTTTTTGGGTACATAGCTGTATCTCCTTCATTCTAGCTCATTAAGTATTAACTTTACCTAAGTTATAATCCTAGTCAAAATAGCCCTCACTCCCTTTTTTCAGACTCTGCTGAGAGTAGGAAATCCATCTCAGATCTTGATTTCAAAAAGTCAGCAAGATCCCACAGTGTACCTATG